CCTACTTACTAGAAGCCTCTAGCACACCAACCTTGCTGTTGCCACCACCAAGAAAGTCTTGAGACATTGCCAATATCCACTGAGGGGAACAATCACCTGCAGCTGAGACCCACCACTCTAGCACCATGTATAGAAAGAGGTTAAATCCAAGACAGTCACCAGGTCTTGGGGAAGACCTGCAGGCTGGCTATGAAGGAGAAACCAAAACAAGAGCAGTCTCTAGCCTCTGGGAGAGTGCAGTATCTGAAGAGCTCCTTATCTTCATGGAAATTCTGGACCTTCAAGATTGGTTTCTCACTTGGAATGTATCCTGATTTTTCAAGGGACACATCTCATGACCAATAGTCCTGCTGCTTTCGACTCCTTTTTGCAGATTTTTTCAAATTCAACCCTAGAAAATTAAATTAAAAACAATGTCATGACCTCTGTTCCAAGCCCCTGGTTGGTCTGGACTTGAGCAAAGACTGGCAGGTACAGGAGTATTTTCTCTCTACTTCCTCAGCCCTCAGGTCTAATAGAATAATTTTGATGGGAGGGAAGCGAAAATGGCCAACTCAGTAATCGTGGCCTCCTAGCTGCAGTCTATGACCTGGATGAAAATATTGCTTGGCTTCACACACCAGTGGAGAAATAGTTTCATAATTATACTGTAATATTACAGGCTGAGTATTCCTTATCTGAAATACTTCGAAGTATTTCAGATTTTAGGGTTTTTTGGATTTTGTTATATTGGCTTATATATAATGAGCTGATTGTAGTGGCTCAGGCCTCTAATCATAGAGACTCAGGACAGGAGGCTGCAGGAAACCAACCTAATCAATTTACCAAGTCTCTGTTTCAAAATATATATATATATATATAGAAAGGTCTGGGATGGACTTCTGTGGTAAAGCTCCCCTGGGTTCAATCCCCAGGACTGAAAATAATGATAATGAAGATGATGATGATGATGATGATGATGATGATAAAATAATAATGAGATACCTTGAAGATGGGACCCACAGCTCATCACAGAATTTATGTTTTCTATATGCCATATACACATAGCTTGAAGGTAATTTTATACAATAGTTTTAGTGTGAGTGTGTTGTGACCATGACTATCACATGGGGTCAAGTGCAGAATTTTCCTCTTGTGACATCATCTTGGTGCTCAATGATTTGGATATGGAATTATTTTCATGTTAAGGATGCTTGGCCTGTAATAGCAAATACTCCTATAACAACTACCTGATGCAAGGCCCTCTTCATGGTACTCTCCACATATTTTACCTTTTTTGTCCTATCAACAATGCTAGGAGATCAGTACTATTATTATGGACATTTTACAGAGGAGTACACACAGGTATGGAAAACTAAGGTGACTATGTGGGACATGCCACCTGTGTGGGACACACCATGTTAAGAGGTAGAACTGAGATTAAGACCAGAAAGTCTGGCTCCAGAGCCTATGCTCATAACACATCCCAACAAACCACATCACTCAAAAATACATGAACTTGCAGGGGCTAATCTAACTTGTATTCCCATTACATAGATTTAAGGCATAGTATATCAATTTTTATTCATGCATTATAATTACACCTAATAATTATATCATTGTGGCATATTCATATCTGCACATGGTATTCTTGGGCCATCTCCCCTTTCTCTCGCCTCTTCTCCCTCCCACAGAACCTGTTGCTGTACTCTATTGATCTCCCTTCTATTTTCCTGAGACCTCTTTTTTACCCCTTTCTTCTCTCTAGTTTCCATGTGAGAGAACACAATGACCCTTGACTATGAGTCGGCCTATTGATCTTAACATGATGTTGTCCAGTTTCATCCATTTTCCTGCAAATGACATAATTGCCATAATACACATTTTGTAAAATAACCAAGAGTTACTTTACCTGAAGCGTTGAATATCAGCATCAGATACTAGATTTTTAATAACAAGAAATCCATTTTCTTCATAAAATTTTCTCTGTTCCAGGCTTAGCACATTATTTTCCAAAGTATACCTACAGGAGAAATAGGCACCAAATAAGTCCAAACTTAATTACAACCTACCATTATGTTCCAAGAATCCAAGAAATGTTCATATTCTTTAATCCAATACTTCTAATTGTAGGTCTTTAAGAAAATGATCTTAAAATGTTTGAAAAGCTTCAGGTCCAAAACATTGGCAGGTACAGGAGTAGTTTCTCTATCCTTTGGTTCTTTGGGATTGGCTTATTTTGGTTAGCATAATATTCCCCAGTCCATCAATTTAAAAATATATAGTAATGGAAGGAAAATTAACTTATCACATTATATCCACTCAGTGAAACATGATTCAGGCATTAAAACTGAAGGAAATGAGCGTGTGAAAAATGGCCATTATAATAAAATATGATTACAGTGATATAAAAAGACACTATTTGTGCAAAGGAGAATGCTGAGAAATGCACCAAAAATATTTTTAATAGTGATTGCCTTTCAATAATGCAATTATGCTTGATTTTTTGAATTCCCTCTTTTTCTCTGATTTTTAAATTTTTTCTGGATTGCATGTACATGGTTTTCAGTTTGGAAATTAATTCAATAAATTTTATGTTTTCAATTCAGAAATAATCAAAATAACAAAATCCAAATAAATATACAACACATCAGCGAATGAGGTGAAACTGCAAATAGGTACAACCAATATGGAAATCAGTACGGAGATTCTTCAGAAACTTGGAATGGAACTACCATTTGACCCAGTCATTCCTAGGTTTATACCCAAAGCACTTAAAATCAGCATACTACAGTGATGCAGCCACATCAATGTTTACAGCAGATGGATTCACAATAGCTAAACTATGGAACCAACCTTCCCTTCAACAGATGAATAGATAAAGAAACTGTGGTATATACACACAACAGAATATTACTCAACCTAAAAGAAGAACGAAATTATGGCATTTTCCAGTAAAAGGATGGAACTGGGGATTATTATGCTAAGCAAAATAAGCCAATCCCAAGAACCAAAGAATAAATGTTTTCTCTGGTATGTGGATGCTAATTCACAATAAGGGAGAGGGGGAAGAATAGAGGTATTTTAGACTAGATAGAGGGGTGTGCAAGGAGGGGAAGAGGCATGAGGGTAGGAATGATGGAAGAATGAATCAGACATTATTACCCTATGTGTAATATGATTACATGACCTGTGTAACTCTACAACATGGACAACCACATGAATGAGAAGTTATACTCCATTTATGTATGATGTGTCAAAATGCATTTTACTGTCATGTATAACTAATTAGAACAACAACAACAAAGAGAAATCACAATATTAAAAAAGATATCATCAAATAAAATCACCCAACACCTCTCATAAGACTGAAATTGTGGCTGTAACAATATTTATGTAGGTCAAGTTTTCCCCTAAGGTGACATAAGAATAAAACTTGTAAACGTTTATAATCCCATGACGCAGGAGGCTGAGGCAGAGTTGCATGTTCCAGGTTAACCTCAGCAACTTAGTGAGGCCCTAAGGAACTTAGCCAGATCCTGTCTCAAGATAAAAATTTAAAAAGAGAAAAAAATATAATGAAAACAAAAAATTCTAGCTAATATATCAATTTAACCAAACTACAAGCTAATTTAGTTGTGATAGTTTCTTTTCTTTTTTTGTGGTGGTGCTGGGGATATTTTCTTTTTTGTTTGTTTTTTTTTGTGTGTGTGTGTGGTGGGGCTGGGGATTGATCCCGGTGCCTTGTGCATGTGAGGCAAGCAGTCTACCAACTGAGCTATATCCCCAGCTCCATGCTTATATTTTCAAAACTCAGATTATATATTTTCTGATAGTTTTCCTTCTTTCTGAAGTTTAGAAAAAAATATAGAAAAATTAAAGCCAAGATCTTCAAAAGCATCCACAATTCTACTAATTAATTAGAACAAATCCTACAAACAAAGCATTTGTATAATGAATTCTAAGCAGGAAATATATATTTTATATCAGATCCAAATTACCACTAGAAAAGCATTTATATACATAGTAAAGTTACCACTTAAAATGACATCTACTTACTGGAATTGCTGAGGATGGAAACTGGCAGGGGCAATAGGCCCTGAAGTATGAGTAGCTACCTAGCATGTGAATTAAGGCAAACAAAGTAAAATTTGGGAGTCAACCTTGTCTAGAAACAACTGCCTGCTCTGGAGTGGTTCTCTCAGGAAAGGAATTCCCTAAACAGACACCAGATGCTCAGGTTTCCCACATCACCCTGACAAGTACACACTGGTGCTTTAAGTCCTTTCATTTATATCACTTTGTTTTATGTTCAAAATAATCTGGGAGGTAGCAGGAAGATAAAGAGCTTTACAGTCATTCTTGCTGTTGCACTAGGAAACCTGGGCTTGGAGAGCTCAGTAACTGTCCAAGGTCACCCAGAGGGGAATGGCTGAGTCAGGACAGAACTCACACTCAGCTTCAAGGCTTCGGTCTGTCTTAATCCATGAGACTTCCTCCTAGGAAACCACTGAATGAGAACAAATCCAAAATTCAACTCTAGAAATAAGGAAAGATCAGGGACTGTTCACCAAAAACATATAATTAATTAAGTTAGACTTCATTCCAAAATACAAGAAAGTTTGGTTGGTCATGGGACGGAGGAAGGGTAGAGTCCATAAAATAAAGTCATGACTACAAGAATAGTATGAGTCCCAAAGTCTAGTCCAATTTTAAATATGTGTAAGAACTAAAAATTCTCTTTCTAAAATCTCTTTTCCAAACTTAACTAGAGATTATTGACACAGCATCTCATTGTTTCTATTATTTTCTCATTGTTTCTTTAGCTAAAACAGTTCCTTTCCGAGTGTCACTTCTCATGAACAGGTTATCACTTCTTAAGTGACATCTCTATCAAATATGATGACAGTGTCATAATCCAGGAAGAATGCAAGCCAAGACTCAGAATTATGAGCTCCTGTCTGCTCTCTCAGAGGCAGAGGGGTTAACACCCTGCCTGGGTCAATGACTCTCAGCAAATTGTCATTGCCAAGACACTCAGATCGCAGACTCTAGACCAATGGTCTTGTTGCCTCTCCTCTATTCCTGTAGCAAGGTTTCTCTGTCACTATTGTTTTGGGGGAAATTTTAATGACATGGAAATGTTTATGATCTAAGGTTAGGTGAAAACATGTGTGCACAAAACTCATACAGTATATTCCTGGGTTTTAATTCTTGCATAGGAAAGGAAAACACCAGCAAGTTTACAATTTGTCAGTGGTGGAATAATGACTTACATGTATTTAATTTCACCTCTCTACTTGTCTTCATGTTAAAAAAAGCTTGACATTTTGTACTTAAAAAATGATCAGCCCTTTTTCAAAATCTCCCTTCTAAGAAACAATTAAAACTGGAGAAAAACTATCACAAAACTTCTAAAATCTTACACTAGGGAAACATTCACTACAAATTGT